TAACAGACAGTGGAAAACTTCCCAAGTTGAAATAATGAATGATAGAATTTTTGAAAGTGCAATAGAGATAATGACCATACCTATATTACCTTTCTGGCTTCCTCTTTCTCTCTCTCAAGATTGCTGTATTGCAAATCTTTATTCTGAGCAGATTATTTGATCAATATCCCCATCCCTACCTAAATTTACAAGATCTATACTATCTACCTTTTCATAATATCTATATCCCAAAGAACAGAAGCAGTAGCAGACTCAATTAGCTGAACACAATTCTTCTTTCCTTAATGCTCCTCATGTAAGTTTTATTTTAATGCATGACTACATACATGTTTTTGTCTTGGTCAACTATTTATTCATCTCAACTGTGACTTGAAAGAACTCAGCTTCTTTACTTCCTGCAGCCTATTCATTCTACATTGTAAAAGCTCATAAAGTATTTTTTAATATTGAGGGTTTTAAAAGAAGACCTAAGTTCACATAAACAATCCCGAACTAGGTCTCCTGCTGTGAGAAAAGGAGTCTCTGGAGACAGAAATAAATTGCTTATCCTTATGAGGTGAATTAATTTGTCCAGAGTAATACAAGTACATAAGAAGTAATTTACTAAATGGTAACTTGTACCCTAAAATAATTAACATCCCATGAATGTGCGATTTAATCTGAGTTGACTCATCACAAAACAAAAGGCATTAATCCTCACAACTTGCCTGAAATATAAAGGTAAGGGGAGAATTAGACATAAATATCCATGGCTTCTGTTTTCTAATCTTATGTTTTGTTAGCTGATATTCACTAAGTTTTATAAAACAGCATATTTAAGATAATTTTAATCCTAAATAACCTAGAACACTATTTAATATATCTGATCCAAAACAAAGCCATTAAGAACAAAATTTCCTGCTTAAGTGTATATGATACCATATATAGTCTCCCCTGTTTCTCTATATATATATTTTTAGTTGTCCAGATCATTTCTTTCTATTTTTTTTTAGTAGAGACGGGGGTCTCGCTCTTGCTCAGGCTGGTCTCAAACTCCTGACCTTGAGCGATCCACCTGCCTCGGCCTCCCAGAGTGGTAGGATTACAGGCATGAGCCACCGCGTTCAGCCTCCTTAAAACTCTTGACATTCCTCTTCTAACTCCCTCTCCTGGATCGCCTCCAACCTGTCTCACTCCTATTTCCTTTGCTAGTTCTATTAGCTAAACTGCAGTCTGCATCAAGCACATTCATTCATTCAACAGACATTTAGGGAGCTTTTACCATGACCCAGGCACTGGAGAAATAGCAGTGGACCAAACAAAGTCCCTGCTCTCATGTAGCTTACTTACCTTTTGGTGAGAGAGGGAGACTATAAACAAATAAATGAGTAAAATAATAAGTAAATTAGAGCATGAAAAGTGCCAAGGAGGAAATAAAAGCGGGAAAGGGCAATAGAAATCATCAAGGGTAGACAGAGTGGTCGGAGAAATCTCTGTGAAGTGGTGAGGAAAACCCTGAAGGAAGTGAGAGGGTGAGCAAAGCAGGTATCTGGAGGATGAGCACTGCAGGCAAAAGGAAAGGCAAGTGCAAAGGCTCTGAGGCAGTATAACCAGTAGAATAAGAACAGTGAGAACAATGATGCAAGAGGCACAAAGTGATGGGACATGAGGAATAGACTAGAGAGGGGAGGGGCCAGTTCATATAGTGTGTGTCACTACAAAGACTTCAGCTTTTATTTTGAGGGAGATAAGATTCCTAACATCAGAGATTTTGAACAGAGGACTGATACAACCTCCTTGTGCTTTACCAGGATCATTCTGGTCTTTGTGAGATGAACAGATTGAAGAGGAACAGGGGCCAAAACAGGGGGACGCTCAGGAAATCACTGCAGTATTTGGGGAAGAGAGGATGGCACACTGGATCTGGGTGGTAGCACCAAATGTGGGGGTAAATATTCAGATTCTGGATCTATTTCAAAGGTAGCCAATGCATACTAAATTATGACATACCTCCTATATACTGAATTGAACTCTGGCATCATCTATTCCCAACAATTATTTTTCTCTTAATTACAATTCCTAACTTATTAATTTTTTTAATATTGAGTTTTATAAGCTGCCTCAAATCCTTTGGCAATTAAGACAGTTCCTTGGTGCACCCAGTACTTAGAACAATGTCAGGCACATAAAAAACATTTGATGAGAGTTAGCTGAGTGGATCTTCTACTTATGAAAATTCACTTGATAAATTTAATTTTCTTTTATTCTTGAACAAACTAAGTTCTAGTGACTCAGGGTAGTTTTCCCTTAATAGGATCAATCTGTTCCCAAGAAATATTATGAAATTAACATTTTTACCTTACTTTGAGTATACCTAGTAG